AAAAAAAAAATGATTTTTTAGGAAACAATTTTTTTTTTCGTTTTTTTTTTTACTTTGTCGCAATGGAAACAAATTTTATAATCAATTGTGGAAAAAATTATCACTTTAATGAACAATTTTGATGCAAACGAAGGCCAAACAAATACAAAATTTAAAAATTTTCCGGGTGAAAAATTATACCAATCACACACACTTAATTAACAATCCGCTGTAAAATAATTTCTAGACAATTACTTTTCTTGGAATTCATTTTTTTTCCACATATTTTCCACCCTTACAATCAAACGGACCCTAACATTGAAAAATGTTTGCTACCTTGGGTTTATAAAATTTTGAAAAAATTATTTCCTTCTTTGTAGATGCTTCTTCGTTAATAGTTATTTTCCTCTTCAACCCACTTTCCCCAATCATCCTCTCTCTCTCTCTCCTCCTCCGGCGGCTTCGACATCAACAAGTAAAACAAAAGTTGCTTCGGCTTCGATGACCAACCAGTAAGCTGTACACGATGTTCACGTGCACCAATGGTGCTGCTCTCTCTCCTCTCCCTCCTCCCATTCTCCATTTTCTTTCTGCGGCGACTGTGTGGCTGTGTAAATGGTGGGCGTGGCGGTGGATCTATGGTAAGGTGGTGGTGAGGTGTGGTGTAAATGGAGATAGAGAAGATGGTGGTGGTAGTGGTGGTTGTGTGTTGTGGGTGGTGCGGTGCGCGGTGGATCTGTGAGGTGTCGGTGGTGTGCGGTGTGGGCGTGGCAGTTTATCTGTGGTTGGGTGTGGTGTAAATGGAGATAGAGAAGATAGTGGTGATGGTGTGTTGTGGGTGGTGCGGTGGTGGTGGTGGATCTGTGTTGCGACAACGACGGCAATGGTGGTAGGTTTGGAAATTTTTTTTGGGTTGTAGGATGGGGTTGGTGGTGGTGGTGTAGTGGTTGTTGGTGGGTAGCGGTGTTCGTGGTGATGTCGGTATTTTTTAGATGATGGTTTGCTTTCGGGGGGTGGTGGATCCAACGATTGAGTTTCAGTTGCCATGCTGGTGGTGACAGTGGTGAGGCGGTAGTTACAAGTGTTGATGGTGGTCACAGATTATTTAGTTATTTGTGACGGTTAAATTGATTATTTTGTGATCAATAAACAACATTCGACTATTGAAAAAGATAAATTGTGATCAAAAAATAATATGTGACCTAAAAAATTGTTAATTTGTGACCAATAATTTGATAATTTGTGACTATCTAATAAGTTATGACTTATAATATTTGTGATTTGTGACCTATAAATAAATCGTGACGTTTCAATTTTTGATTTGCGAGCGATAAGCAAATTGTGACCTATAAATTTTTTGAATTGTGATCGTAAAAAAAATTGTGACACATAAAATTTGTGATTTGTGACCAATGAATAATATGTGATTTATTAATTTGATAGATTTGTGACTGATGAATAAATTGTAACGTATAAATTTTTGATTTGTGGTCGATGAACAAATTGTGACATATAAATTTTTTGAATTGAAACTGTAAAATAATTTGTGACATTTGAAAATTGTGATTTGTGACAAAATTATATGGAATTGTGACATTAATATATTTAATTAATTTATTAATAAATAAAATTTAAAAAACTCTGAGATTTGAAATTTTAAATATAATCTCTTAAATTTGAAATTGGTAAAACTAAATCTCTTAGTTATAAAATCTTCCCTAAACTAGATCCGATCATGATTGAGAGATGGGTCTAATAATTCACCTCCACTTGGTCTTGAATCAAGATGTTGGGCTTATTGAATTATGTAAAATAACATAAATATTTCTTTGTTAAAGTTTTTATTCGTCAATAATATTATTATTTTTATATCAAATAAATTCATTAAAGATTTATATTTTAGACTTTGAACAAGGTGTAAAAGGAATTTATTTGAATTTGGACTAGTTACCAATTGATGTTGAATGATAACCCCTACGTAGGGTTTATTTTTCTTCCACGAAATTTGGTCATATTTCTGGTTAAGTTGTAAGAAATGTCACAGTCAAACCCATAATGCTCTTTTGTCCATCCAAAAAACACATCTGCCTTGGTAATCAAGAAACATAATTATTAAAGGATGAGCCGCATAATAATCAAGAAACATAATTATTAATCTTAATAACTATGGCTATGTAGTTTGGATATTTACCGTTCCCCGTCCTGCTCGTTTGGTATGAAAGACAACACAACGATCAAGCATGCAGAAATAGGAATCGGGTTGCTAATCTCAGAATTTTGGTTCAATCGCATTATTGTAGGACGAAGGCGTATGATTTTGCTGCTATGAACAAAAGTTTTGTATCATCTTCCAATATCGAGAAACCGGAGGCTGCTATGTTTCGTTGGTCACGGGCAACAACTTGTGCAGCAAAGGTACGTTTTCTTGTTGGTTTATGATAGGATTAAATAATCGAGCTAAAACTATATCTTCCTTTACACAAAGTATGACGAATAAATTTGATCTTAGCTAGATTGGAAAAGGGTTGTCCAAGGACGAAAAGGCTAAAGAATTAGCTACTAATTACTGGCTAGAAGCTGTGAGTAATTATGATCCAATACAGTCTAGAATTGCATACCAAACATGTCCCTAATGCTTCATTCTAATTTCTTGC